CACTGCTCCCAACAAACATCCTGCTGTTATTTGCACAGTTTCTCCATGTTCTGTAAACACTCTGTCATTATTGATGTTTTTAAGCACATTTCTCACAGCCACCTTTGGACATCTTTTATCAACACGATCCTACTAGTGTAATAACTGTACAGTATTCCTTTTTTCTTATGTTGTAAAGTTGCTCTCTGCAGTCTCGTTTCTTATTTGTTGTTCTTTATTTTAGATTCTTACTTTTGTGTGACCCGTCGTGCTCCATCTGCCTGTCACTGCTGGGACGTGAATTTTTCCCCAGTGACAGACAGTAAAGGATATTTCTATTCTATTCTAGTCACTACTATTATTGCTATAATAATAATAATAATAATAATAATGACGTTAGCGACGCTACGGATTGTTGATTGGCTGGTTTGGCGACGTTAGGCGGGATTTCTACACCTCCGCTGTCCATTGGCTAGTTCTCTGTTTTGTGGGCGGGGCTTGGTTTGAACCGGAGTCCCGCCGCAGACAAAAGTGTCAGGTTTCCTGTAGCGACAGTTTATACGACGCAGGCGGCTGTCAGCAGTTCATCACCCGCGGAGAAGCTCTCTTTGTGGGAGGTTTATGTACCCACGCTGCGGCGTTTAGACTGATATCAGCCCGAGTATTTTTATTAACTTTGTTAAAGTGTCAAGTACCTCTGCTGTCATGGCAGAGGGAGCGGACTGCGGTTCGGCCAACCCCGCGAAGAGGAAGCAACCGGCTGGGAGGAAGAGCAGACAGAGCCAGGGGAAGAGGAGCTCCAGCAGCCGGGTACAGCCTCAGCTAACAGGCTAACTGCTAGCGTCACAGTCCCGTTAGCTGTGAGAGTTTTAGCGAGGAGCTCGGGTTAGCTTACAGCCAGTATCAAAAGCACCTGAGAGGCCTGAAGGCTAAGAGCCTGTTTGTTATTACGGAAGTGAGAAGTCTGAATGTGCGGAGTTTAAATCGCTGCGAAGTTACAGCAGCTACAGGCTAAAGTTTAGACAACAGACCGAGGGAGAGGCTGTCTCCTCCGCAGACTCCATGCTGAAGGAGAGTGAACACAAACTCTCTTAAAAGTTTATTTTAGGCACAGATTCATGTAAACAGCTCAGATCCCACAGCAGCTGATTCCCGATGTTCCTGAGATCAGTTTTCATCTGCTGAAAACAAGTTTCACTTAGATGACTCTGGTTTAGTTGTCTCGGTATTTTTAGTGTGCGCTGTTGTTCTGTGTGAGCTGGAGGCCTCTGCTTATATCACCGACCTGTGTGCACGGTGAGACTGTTAAATGGACTTGTGTGTGTGTGTGTTATTGTTTCAGGTCTGTTTGGAGAAGGTCTTGGGTATCAGCACAGCCAGCAGCAGTGGTTTGACCTCTGACCCCAACACAGGACTCATTGCCTACCCTGCAGGGTAAGTCCCGCCTCCTTTAAGCCACCAGAGCTCTGTGCAGTGAAGTAGGATTCGGGGTTGAGGGAGAAACTTCAGGGTTTAACCCAAGGTGTGGGTTTGTCATGAGTGATGGAGAGTTCGTTGGGCAGGTTGAAGGCTGAGCTGCTGGGCGGTTCAGACCAGTGAGGTCAAACCTCAGTAATGAGCAGTTTTTACTGCTGTCAGCAGCCGGTTGAGAGATGGAAGGAAACCTCTGAGGTCAGTGAAACAAAGAGGCTGTTACAGCACCCACAGTCTTCCTCACACCGGTCACAGATTCGGTGTGAGCAGTCTCAGTCAGCCACAGCAGACGTCGGGACGTTTCTGGTGGAGTCGCTGTGTCTCTGACACACAGTGAGCAGCAGAGTCCTTAAACGTCTGCCCTGCGAGCTCTCACACAGACAGGTGGAGAATAAAGGAGTTAAAGTGCGACCTGCTCTGATCCTTGAACTTTTCTGTCTAGCACGTGTGGCTGATTTATCTCAGGTTCAGGAACTTATTGTTCGTTTCAACTGTCCACATGAAACATGGATGACTGTAACACTCGGATACTGTTCCCAGTATACCCA